ATTGGTGGCTGACTAAATACTTTTTTTCCCCACTGTATGTGCATACATTATGTATGTGTTGAGTTCAAAGGCTATGAGCAATCACATCCAATTTCTTGTAGGCCCACATTACAGGGCTCCATGGCCTTCATTCAGGAACTCAATCTACGTCCTTGAGTAGGTCAGTTTGCTGACCCATCCTGTGCAAAAGTAACTCAGCCTTCCTCTTTTTCCAAGAGATTTGTTCAAATATCTTGAAATGTGTGTGTTGAATGTGGCAAGTCTGAACATATAGAAGAGCAAAAAATGTTTAAGAGCTTGAAACGCTATATTCTAAATCTTCATTATTCAATGAAAATGGTTTGCCTTGCTCTCCTTGGCAGTCACTTAAAAAGAGCAGTATGTCCGAGTTAATAGTATCCATAAAATAGGAGGTGAAAAATACCCAGATGACCTACTACTTCAGCCTAGATTCCAAAGTGCACATTTGATGGACACTTTACTATACTATGGGGCCATGGGAGAGAAGCTGTGAATGGCTGTAAAATGGCACAACAGATGCCATAAGTCACATGACAATGACATGGCGGATTTGAGCCCATTCAGATTTGAGCCCATTTCATTCACATGGCACACAGTTATACTATATAGAAAGTACTTTTTTTAATGGTCGCAAAATAAGTTCTTCATCAAATGTAGTATCTAATCTGAAAGTATGTGGTTTCGCTTAATTTACGAATGAGTTTAACATACTAACTCGCTGGTAGTGGGGGTTCTCAGGTAAAAAGCTCACTGGAGGTAAACATTATCAGTCAAAAATGACCTAAATTTCAGTCTATCCATCAAGCAAAGCTATTTGTATGGGGAATAAAACACAAAAGTTGTATGGACTACTTTCATGGTACTTCAGTGTCCTAATTACAGTTTCTTTCGAGGTCAGGAGATTGTGACACAATGTGACTTTTCTCACTGTGAAAAGTGTTTTCAGTAAAGCTGTGCATGTGCACCATCCCACAAAGTAAATCTGGATGAATCAATTTATACTTTCAGAAATCACAACATGAATAATGATTTCCCATCTGCAAGATCTGTGGTTCTCAACGTACTGTTAGAAACATACACAATATATTGTAACCATAACTATATTGTCCAAGATAATGCTATTGTCTGATTAAGCCAAATCTAACAGATAATAACAGGACATATTTGAGCCAATATTGTCTTTGATGTCTGATTTCTTGATTTAGATTGTAAAATTATATATTGGTGCTTGAATATAAGGAAGAAAAAGGACATGCAGGTTGGGAAAACCATGACCTAAAGTAAATCATGTCAGTTCAAATGACAATGCTTACAGTAGAGTTAACAATGTGTTTGCGATTCAATGATCCTGTACCTCAAGCAGCTCTGACACTACAGGCAGAACTTCAGGATTGCAGATGTCAATGGAGTCATCCCGGTATATCTTCTTCTTGTATCGGATATTCCCTAAATGAAGGATAGCTGACAGCAGAGAGAAAATCCTGCAAGGGAAAAGAAAATCACATTATTGAGTGAGAGATACAAATGCGCAAATATCATCATCATACATTTTTATGATGGTCACCCTTTTTATTATATCTTTTTTTGTTTTTAGTTCATAGACCTGTATTATGACAGATGATTTTGATAGTTCCCCCAAAAATTAAAAATGTTATCATTTATTCATGGTCGACATGTTGTTCCTGGTTACTCTTTTATACACAATTACAATGAACGGCTACTAAAACTTTCAAGCTTTAAAAAAAAAGACACAAAAGCATCATAAAAATACCTAAGAAGTCTATATAACTTCTTAGTGATCTTTGCGATAACCAAAAAATGATAAATGAAGTTATAAAAATTGCATGCAATGTTTTTGTGTATGTGCATCAGGGGGCCAGTGTTTTGGACAAACTCACTGTTTACGTGTTGCGGGAAGGAAGCCCACCATCTCCATAGCCAGCTGCAAGCGCTCAAAGTCATGTTTAAGATCCTCCCCTTCAACTGTGAAGCAATCCTGCTGGTTTCAATAAGAAAAGAAAGGTTACCATCACTTCAAACAATTAAGCACCAGTTCACACCACAGTCACAGTCTGAGGTTTCTTCATGGTGGTTTGCTATGCAATCGTATAATTTAATTACCTCTAGTATCTCTTCTTCAAAACGCTTATAAACATGATGTGCTATTAATGTTTCCAAAATGCAACAGCACATTAACACATAATAAGCTAATAGTATGTTGCATTTCAGCTGCTTGTATGCATTCAAACACAAATGTGTACAAACTGCTTTTTTGGCTTTTGGGGGGCTTAAGTGCTGCCAACGCTCCAGTGAGAAACAGTCAGGGTTTGGTTGATTGACTCAGCGCACCATATCATTATGAAGTTTGGTCAAAAAAGCAAGAGCCGCCAGATTTTTCTGGTTGAAAATTAGGGCCCTGGTGAATGTTAGCATATGCATGTTCTGCCCATGCAGTGGAAAATTCAGAGTGATTTGCCTTTTACACACGTTGGAAATCTGGCACACCAGCAAAGGCAATAAGAAAAGTAGCAATTTATGACTTGATCCATTCCATCAAGTGGAAGAAGAAAAGCATTTTCAGTGAAGCTGTGTTTGTGCACCATCCCGCAAATAAATCTGGATGAATCAATTTATAATTTCATAAATCGCAGCATAAATAATGATTTCCCATCTGCAAGATCTGTGGCTCTCAATGTACTGTTAGAAACATACACAATATATTGTGACCATAACTATAGTGGCCAAGATAATGCTAACGTCTGATTAAGCCAACTCTGGAAACAGATATTAATCTGGTACAAGATACTGGTCCAAGAAGGCCCATATTAAAGGGGCCATATGACGCGATTTAAAATTTTCCTTTCTCTTTGGAGTGTTACAAGCTCTTGGTGCATAAAGAAGATCTGTAAAGTTGCAAAGACTAAAGTCTCAAATCCAAAGAGAAATTCTTTATAAAAGTGAAGAGTCAACCATGCCCTCCTAAAATGGCTCATTCTAACACACCCCCACATGTCTACGTTACGATGTGGGAAGATTTGCATAACGCCGCCCAAATGTTCACGCAAAGAAAGAAGGCGTAACTTTTATTTTCACTGTAGTATTGTTGTTGCCGCGGCTGCCATGTTGTGAAGGCGCTGTGTGTTTAGTTGTGAAAGTGAAACTACTTAGTTTGGTCTTCCAAAAGAGGACGATATCTGCTTCATCATGCCTAGAGCTAATCCGTGCTGGTTGCTGAGGAAATACATCAACTTCGTGCTGTGGATCGCCAGATTGGCTTTCACCGTGGACGAAGCAGAGTCCAGTCCGGGGTCGTCACATGTGGTTGCCGCAAGCCCACCGGCTGGTCCTTCGTCGAATCAGCCAGCCACGCCATTCTCAAGCCCACCGGGCATTCCTCACTCTAGTCTGCCGGCCTCCGCTCACTCAAGCCCGCTGTGAGTGACGCTGTGTGTTTCGTTGTGAAAGCGAAACTACTTTGTTTGGCCTTCCAAAAGAGGGCACGACTAGAAATCAGAGGTTAAGTTGTATTTACAACACTGTTCAAGAACAGTTCAACCTAAATATTCAGATGTGTGCACCGGTATTTAATCGGTCCCGGGGCTAAATTATGAAAGACCGGAGTATCGATAAGCTCTGACGTTAACGGTTCTGCTATCGGTACTGGAGAAATTAATAAAACACACATCCATTTATTATTGCTATTTATACAGTATCTTGCAAATTCCAGAGTCGCCAGCTGTTTTTCAAACATTTGTCTATGATGCATTTGTGCTATTCGCAATTCAGAAGCGAGATCGCGCCCACGCAGAGGAGCTTCAGCACGCGCAACATGATCGGGCGCATGTCCAATCGATCAAATACACACAAAAATGTCAAAATGGCCGGCTTGGAGAGTATTTACTTAAACACAGTTTATGTCTTAAGTGGAGGAGAACAGTTGGGAGAAAATCCGATGTGTGTCATTTACAAATTTATGTTTTATATTCATTTCATTAATCCCAATCACAATGCACTGGATAGCTGGCCAATTACAGCACACCTCGCTTTTCAGACCGATGAGCTTTGTAAAAATCGACGCGTTTCAGAAAGGCGGGGCATAGAGGAGAAACAATAATGTACAGTATGTGGAAAATATAATAAAAGTTTTTTGACCTTAAACCGCATAAACACATTTCATTACACCAAATACACAAATTAATGTTCTTTTTAGCAACATCATATGACCCCTTTAATAATGATGACTATTTTTACCTAATATATATTTTCAATTTTTTATTTATTTATTTGTTTTTAATGCAAAAGCACAAAAAATTTATGAAATTATTTATTTTTATTTGGTAAAACTGTAGACTGGAGCTATAATGTGAATGCTCCTTTTTAAACGGATTTATACAGTATTGATTTATAATATAGGCTATAATTTTTATAGCGCTGCATAATTTCAAAGGCTGTAAGTGCATCTAACTGCTCTTTCACTATAGTGGTACAAAGTGTTGGAGATCTGGAAGCAAGACTTCTGCCATCCACAGTGGTTGGCTCCAGCTGGCAGTGCAACTGCTTCCTACCCACAACAACACAGTCAAATTTACACACACGTCCTTCCCTTAATGAGACAGTGTCTCCTTCATCGTCTCGCTTCATTACTGATGCCAAAATTACAGTATAGCATACCAGAGCAGTGGAGAGGCAAACAGTGCTGAAACTCTATAAGCTTTATGGTTTAAAGCCAGTCCTGCCGAATTGTTTTTTCTCATTCACATTTTCAGGGTAGGAAATGTAAAAAAACAAACAAAAAAAAACTTTTTCTCATGTTAAATGTTGTAAAACTTCTCAACCAAAACAGACCTGAGTAAACATACAGACATATTGTGCTTTGGGTTTGAAGCGAAATGGCATGGATACAACAAAACAGTTCTGTACAGATGCTTCATTATTCTTGTGCACTTTAATACATTATGATCACTTACCTTCAGATTGTGGTTTATTTAAACAATCATTCATGATAATGTTCACTGTGAATTGAAACACGGCACAGGAAATCCAAAACCGGGCATAAACAGCAGGGGTCTCAAACTCAAATTACCTGGGGTTACCTTTTTTTTTTTAGGTAACCCCAGTTATCTAAGTTATACAGTTACAGCAAATGTGTTTGCAAGTGTTTTTAGAATCATGAATTTTAACTATTTACTGTACTAGGCCAGAATAAATTTGTCTAATTAATAACATGGTATGCCAATTAATGAATTTATTTAATAACAATTAATTGCATATCAAAATTAATGAAGAAAGTAATTCAGTAATTCAAAGACTCATTATCATGGCAGATGAGTAAAGCATTACAAAAAGTGTTTTCAGAATTATTAATATATTTTTAGGCTTTTCAGGTTTAGTGGCCTCATGATGCCAATGATTAAAAGACATAGTGATCAATTCGTATGATATTTGTAATTAAAACAATTGTGTTTCATTCAGAATATCAGTTGTGCAGTACCTCAAAAAGAGAGGCAAAACTTAAGAAGTTTCACTTCAACTGTGTAAATAAATTTGTTTATTATAACACAAGCGATCTAGTGTTGTTGGACAGTTAGGGGCCATATCCAGGGGGCAACAGTTTGAGACCCCTGAAAGAGAGCATGAAGACACTGAGCTAACAAAAAAATACAACCATACCAAAAATAACAAACATGCCAACATACCCATGTTGATTTGGTCATTGGTTTTGTGCAAACTCTTTCCGTGTAGAGTGTTCAAGTTTATCTCAAGCTTAATCAAGCTTAATCTAAAGTATGTGGCTTTGCATGATTCCAATTGTGTAAAAAAAAAAAAAACTGTTTACAGCACTAAACAATCAGATCTCCATCAGAGGTCTAGTCACGCCATCAAATGTGGAGCAGGAAATTCACTATTAAAATGTCAATTTAAATGGAAATTGCCTGATTTTTTATCATTTAGTATAGGCAAAAGTTTTATCTCATCCTTCAGGTTTTTTTAAACAAAAGGAAAAAGTTGTACATGAATTCACTTGACAGTTGAAAGAAGTTTATATTTTTGTTAAGAGCATTGACATACAATCTTCACTATAAAATATTTGATATTTGATTTCTAAAGTTGTCTAAACCGCCCATTCAAAGTGGGACATTTATTCTATGAATGTTGGGTTAAAGGCAGATTTGTAAACAGTGCAGTCCTATTAAAGGAAGAGATGGCAACGTGGTCTACCAACACCAAGTATTTGTTCAAAATAGTGTGGTAGTTGCATATTTGAAACATTTCTTCACAATGTTGTGTACTTGCCCAGTAGGCTTCGATTTCAAAGTGTATTACTATACCGTGTCACAGATGCTGCTGATGGAACTAGCAATAGTGCCACAAGATGAGCAACATTTGACCAAGTAGATCTGTGCATTAAGCTTTAAATTGTAAATGCAAACTAATATATCTGCATCTATGTAGCGTGTTTCTTTGTTTTTTATTATATTACAAGCTTTTCACTTGGCCATGTTTACTGTGTGAACATTTTTTCACAATGTCACTAGTTAAAATTGCTTATTTCTCTGGATTTAAACATTCTTCGAAACATTTGGGATAATGTAAGTACACAAGTCAGCTAAATACATATTGTGCCTTTAATATTAGCATTAACTCACTTGATTTAACCTTGTTTTTTTTGTTGTTGTTTTTTAACAAATGAAATTTTCTGGTATTTGTACTGACTATGCAACTACAAAAAATTTGTGACACTAGTATTTCAAGTATCAAAAGTTTACATTTGTAACAACCTTCCAATGCAAATAAAGCTTGTTTGTACTGTTGCTTATCACTCTTATCCAACCAACTGTAGTGTTTACTTGCCCACAGAGATCTGACTGGATATGTAACTGTACAGAGGAGATTGTGTGTACAGCCAGCAACCAGATGGACGCACGAGATCAAGGACTCTTGGCTGGAGACAACAGAGATCCTCTGTATGTGAAACCCCAAGACCTCTGCTAGTGACTGTCAAATGCTGCTCAAAATTACTGTAGCAATGGGTCATGATGACTGTCTTGTCAACCAAAAACCGACAAGTGGTTTTGATATTTTTAGAGTGTGACGTGAAAGCTAGCCAATCAGACTGAATATTGGTGTTTTGAGAAAGCTCTTCTAATTTTGTTTGCAATGTAAGATACACAGACGAAGACATATTAGAAAAAAGAAAACGTACACATCCATAAACACACGCAATGTTAATATTCCTGAACATTTAACATTTCATAAGCACACAAAAGACTGGACGGCTGCACGCAACAGATTTCCACACAGAAACAAAAGCATGAGGCAGGTGTGTGTTATGGAAATGAGGGGCATGTTATGAGCACAAGGCTGCTTTCTGTGGGGGATTAGGTTTTAAAGTGTCTCTGTGTGCGAGACCACTGGGCCAGCTGAAAGGAATGAACTGTGGAATCTGTTTCCTCCATTTTCCCCTCCTTCCTGTTTGCCCAGTGAGAGTGAATCCGTCAATGGGTCTGTTACGGCCTCAGAAAAGCAGCTGCTTGACTCGCACTCATGACAAAAACTGACTCCACAACGGCACACCACAAAAAACTGCTGCCGTCCAGTTTTCTTAACAAAGCTTTGTTGATTTTGAGGCAGTGCGCCATGGTCCTGACTAGGGTACAGGTACTGATGATAACTGTGGTATTTAAAAAATAAAATTCAATATTGATATCATACTAATACTACACATACCATACAAAAAATCCAGCGCCACTAACTATGTGGTTGACACTTTATCAATGTAAGTAGCGGTACTGCACCTTAACAATGGTTGAAACCAGTCAACAGAACAAAAGATGGCGACATCGCAGTGTGTAGCTATTACTGTCACCCAAAATCATAGGGGTTTTCGCACCGCATAGTTCTAGGAACTAGCCAGCAGGGTCGTTCCTTGAAAACCAATTTAACCATCCACTTTAATTGTATGGAAAAGAGTAGCATGAACATACTCCAAAATCTCTCCTTTTGTGTTTCATGGGGGGAAAAAATATGACAGAATTTTCTTTTTTCCCTTTAAAAAAACATGCCAGGATATTCAGTCTTATGTGGACAGCTCAAGGTATAAACTGTGGATCACTCAAGCCACCTCTCAAGATGTTCAGAGATGTACGCGTTCTTTGTATATAGTCTATCATTTGCACTCAGGACAATGAATACTTGTTGTCTACTGCAACACTTCCAGGCAATAAAAAAAAAAAGTTTTAAATATTTTTCAGCTAAGCTTGAAAAGAAAACATTCAAGCAAATGGAAAATTTGGAAATGCCCACATAAAAATGTGCACAAGACTTCAAGCAACATCTTCCGTAAGCCTGACATCAATATGCAGTGACACACTGAAATTGTAAGTGATGTAAGTGGTCATGAAATCAGAGATTTGATCGCAAGTGGTCACAGGAGATAAATGTTAATGCCAAATGTGAATGGCAATTTGACTTGGCTGACCACTTGTGACTGGATCAACTGAGGCAGATTTTAATACCAGTTGTAAATAGGGTCACTGATGGTGAGTACGGTGCATGCAGCGGTATCAGACGTACCTGATTGAGGTAATGGTATTCTTCAGGCTTTTTGAGGTGGAACACTGTTCTCTCATCTTCACTCGATCCTGCCAGCAGGTAGTAAAACACATGGTAATTCCTAGAAGAACAAAACAATGCAACATCAGGTGCAGTATGAACATATGAGCCTATAAATACATAAAGGATTGCAGTTTTGTCCAAACAGGAGCAGATTAGATTATATACAAGGTTTCTTAACCAGTCTCAACAGGTTTACAGCAAGTCTTTATGTGTGTGTGTGAACGTGTGCAAACACTGTAATGTGCAAAATTACAGCCACTGAATGATTTTTGTTTACAATCAGGACAATTGTACCACCCTTATATTTTTTTACTTTATGCCTCAAAAAAATATCAAATGAATTTCAATTTAGAAGTGCATTCAATTCATTGTATGTTTGAATGGTAGTCTGTGTTGATTTTTTAAATAAATTAATAGATTTAATAAAAATAAAAAAAATAACTCATGTCACTGACCCAGCTGGTAAGGACTAGCTGGTTTCAGTTTTAAAAAGCACGGCCCCGATACTGAAATATGACTGCTGTGATTTATACCAAACTCTCAAAAACAAGGAAATTATGGTCTGTTTCCATAAACCCTCATGCCATGAAACCAGTTGAACTGGTAAAGACAGCCAGAAGATAAAGCTGAGATTCACACATATAAACTGAACAATTACTCTGACAATACTGAACACTGTGGAGAAATGATTCCCACGTTCACTACTGGATATATTTCCTCATGAGCTTCTACCAAATCTACACTCTCTTTGGTTTAAATAAACTGTTGTCTAGCCCAGTTTATTAATGAAATGATTTCAAATGAATATACAACGGCATCAACAAATCATACAAGATCTCCTACCTTTCATTGTGCTCCTGATAGACGAGTCGGGATTTCTCCAGCAGATATTTCTCCACATATGCCCTGGATAAGAACAAACACCAAATTAGACAGGGGTTCCAAACATCTCTACAGCACTGCAGACGCAGACACATGAAGCTCTTACCCTCTTACAGTGCCACTTTCCTGATAGTTCACCTGGATGAACTTCCCAAAACGGCTGGAGTTGTTATTATGGGCTGTTTTAGCGTTACCAAAAGCCTGTGAACACAGGAGAAAAAAAAATAGCATAAGAGAGGTGACATAAGTGTATGGATGACTTGCACTGCCACTTAAGTTAAAATGAAGGAAAAATGTAAAATAAATAAATGAACTAGTGAATGCATGAATGAATAATTAAAAAGAAATAAATATGCTATGTCAAAGTGGGCTTCAGTTGAAAATTCATTTGAAACTAGCTTGCTTAAAGTCTCAACATAATTTTCAATTGAAGCCCACTTTGACATGGCTGCCAATGAAAACTTTGGATATTATATATATATATATATATATATATATATATATATATATATATAATTATTAGATATTTTTGAAATATGCAATGCAGGCTTTACAAGACACTATTATAGAAAAAAACAAGGCAAGAAAAAACATGTTTGACAAGCCAACAAACCCCCATAACTGTAAATGTGTGAAGATGTTGGCCATAACAGTGCATTCGCATTCTATAGAAGTCTTAAAAATACAGATTGTTCAATTGTAAGGGTCAGTAAGATGGTGAAAAACTGTTATGAATGTGAAAATAATTACAAAGAGTGTGAAGCAAGACAACTTGACTAACATTATAAGTGGATTGCAACAAGAAAGAAAGAAATGTTTTGTAAGACCACACTAAATCTGTTGTAAGTGTCCACTACATCCCCTTTTGGCCTGTTTTTGTTATGTGCCTGCCTGGAGAGCAGGAAGTTATTCAGTTGTACATAAACGCTCTCGTTATTTGTGGCTCCACCACAAGTAAACAAATTCCTCAGTGGAACTTGTCTGGAGGGACAGCGATCGTTCTCGGCACCCACGGCCGCTCCAGAGGTCAATCTCGCAGCCAAGTGCGCCAGACACACACCGCCCTGTTATGAGTCAGAGTTTCAAAGTGGGTTTTACGGCTGCCAGGGGAACCAAGGACAAGCCGTTCCGCAACAGACAAATGGAATTCTGGGTAGGGCAGCACCACCACCGTACAGCTGACAGCCATGGGCTACTGTAACAGTCCATATGTGCTCACAGCCATCATGACGCATCTAGCGAGCTATGTTAATGTCTTGAACGTCTAGAAAAGGTTATGTCAAACACAGAGATAACTTTGCAAACGGCCTCTGAAACCCATGTTGGAAAAGTCTATTTAGCCCTTTACAATGAACAGCACTAGCCAAACATCAAGTGGATGTTGCACAGTTACTCCTCTGACATATTAATGTCAGATTCAGAAATTCATCATTCGCTCCGCACACTAAATGGAAGAGGCCTGGGCGCTCCAGGAAATCGGGTCAGACGAGGACAAAAATCAGCCGTTATAGTGTCACCTCAACTCTTCCTGTGCAGTCAAACACACAGCAATACTTCACGCCTATCATAGCCCTGCTGAAGCCAAAAAGCTTTTAACAGACATGGAGAAAAGAGTGAGGATGGACTGCCAAACTTCTTGATACTCAACATTCCTGATTACTGCAGGAAACAGCTGCCATTAAAATCTGCTGAGATTCACATATGTACAGGGGCGCATTTTCAAAAGCATTGTTAGCACTTCTGTGCTTCATAAATGAGTAAAATATTAGGCTTTGTAACAGGTATTTATAATAATAATAATAGTTATTATTATTATTATCAGGGCTGGCAAACAAATAAAAACTTTAATCTAATTAATTTCATGATGTACCAATTAATGAATCAAATCAAATGAATCGCACACCAATTTGATTTGAGAAATTACCCACAAATTTGAAGTCATTATAGTGTAAAATGAGAATAGACTGAATTGACATTTAAAAAAAAATTGCTTTAGAAAGAAATATTTTTATTGAACAAAGAATTTATGACACAAACTTTTAAGGCTACAATGTGGCCATAACATTGTTTTCAGAAGCTGCATCTGAAGAGGTATTAGGGTATATTTACAGAGACTGAGGTGGAATGAATGCATTTACACTGCAATTAGAATTGCATAAATAATGCTATGAGATTCATGGGTTTTAAATGGGCACTGACAGGTTTACAGAATATTGAAATTATTTTTCATTATTTTCTTTAAATTAAATGATAGGCTATTCTAAATATGAAACTAAAACTTAATGAGTGAGTCATTCAGTCATTCATTCAACTGATTCATTCAGAAACAAAGCAAGTGACTGTCTTTATTTGAAGGGACACCAAATCACTTTCTGTAAATATTAAGCTGCAAAAAGACTATTTAAATATGAATCCTGCATGTTCTGCGTGTCTCTGTGTGAATGAATGGCGCAGTCACGCGGTTTTTGTTTACTACACATACTGTGCGGTGTTTTCAGCGTCTCACTAAATAAAACATAAATACATGAACATCTCTAGAACTGCTCTGAGAGTACTTCAAGAGCATTTTACAGTTTCATTTGAGTAAAACTATCATTATATCATATACACACAGAAATGTAAAGGTATTCATGGCAACCCGTCAAACTAAAAGTTGTTTAACTTGAAGACATTGTGCCAGAAATATATTACTATGTTCAGTAGAATCATGTACGTAATACTAATACTACCCTCCCCCGGCAATATTGGCTTGCTTTTCTGACAATATTGTTGGTTTGATTGCACAGACACTATTGGAAGAGAACTGAACTGGATGATGACATCACTGAATCATCAATGAACTGACTTTAGCTGGAAAAATGACTAATTATTATTGTCCTCTTGCATTATTAACAAACTATTCTCCTGTTGGACACTGTAAAGCTGCTTTGACACAATCTGTTTTGTATAAAGTGCTATATAAATAAAGGTGACTTGACTTGAATAATACTACTACTTCTAAAATTATTAAATCCCCTTTGTTTGCCAAAAAAAAGTTTGTTTAATTTTCATTTATTAAATGATAAATTAAATTAATGTTTTATGCCTTCATTTGATAACCAAAACATTTTACATGCACAACACAGAATTAAAAAATTTTTTTTTTTATAAAGCTATTGTAAAAATAAATGTTAATAAATTAAGTTGTTTTTATACATTCAAATAATTAGACATGCTAAAACACAGAATATGGTAACAAAACATAAGGTAAGAAATAATAAAACATTTAATAGGGCCCTAAACATGTAATTTTTAAAAAACGTTTAATAAATTGATGTTAAAGTGTATACGTTTCATGATTATAATTAATTAAAAATGCATTTTGATTAATAAAATGTAATTTAATAATTAAAAAGGAGTCCAGAAAAATTTTAACTGAAAAGAATGGAATCCAGAAAAATTAAAACGGAAAAAAATGAATTTCGGAAAAAAATAAAACTGATTTCATAGGGCGCATCAGTATGTATGCTACCCCATCTTACTGGCAGCAGCAAATTCTCCACAGAAACATTTTAGATGCACAACACAGAATTTAAAAAAAATTTTTTTTATAAAGCTATTGTAAAAATAAATGTTAATAAATTAAGTTGTTTTTATACATTCAAATAATTAGACATGCTAAAACACAGAATATGGTAACAAAACATAAGGTAAGAAATAATAAAACATTTAATAGGGCCCTAAACATGTAATTTTTAAAAAACTTTTAATAAATTGATGTTAAAGTGTATACGTTTCATGATTATAATTAATTAAAAATGCATTTTGATTAATAAAATTTAATTTAATAATTAAAAAGGAGTGGAAAAGAATGGAATCCAGAAAAATTTAAATGGAAAAAAATGAATTTCGGAAAAAAATAAAACTGATTTCATAGGGCGCATCAGTATGTATGCTACCCCATCTTACTGGCAGCAGCAAATTCTCCACAGATGAAATAACAACACAAAAGGCTTTTGTCTTGAGTTAAAGGTCTTGATCTCATAGGAGAAGCTGGGGAAATGAATAAACGACTGAGAAAACGAATGCATCACAATTACCGAAATCTGCTCTGACACATATTGAACTGAGAATAAAATGACATCAAAAGCAGGAACGGGAAGTTTGTTGCTTTTCCCGGCACAAGACACAGGGGAACGTTTAGCAAACATATTTTGGATGAGCACCAGTGTAAGAGCTTGTGAATTGATCTCAGGGGCTGAGAACTGAAACCATTAGAGCATACTGTCACTCACACAAACACACAACAACCCACTCTGATCACATGCCACGTCTTCTAATGGACCGCATCAGGCAAATATTATCTCTTGGCCAGAGAGCCATCACAGGGGAAATACTCTCAAAACTGTGTCAGTGTGATAAGGCCATAATCCTCTCCATGTGTGAGAGAAGAGTGTTTGCACTGTGTGTGGGACCACAGAGTCTCAGGTGCCTCTCTTAACCAGGCCCGAGTGTAACATACAATATCTGTGAGTCAGTTTATTTCTATAGATCAAGTATTCCCCAGTTTTTTTTGTCAGCTGAACCCCTTTGACCTTAAATATGTACTTGACGTATCTCCTGAGATGTTAATATTTTAAAGGGGTCATATGATGTTGCTAAAAAGAACATTATTTTGTGTATTTGGTGTAATGAAATGTGTTTGTGATTTAAGGGGTAAAAAAACACATTATTTTCCACATACTGTACATT